CTTCTTCTTCTTCTTCTTCTTCTTCTTCTTCTTCTTCTTCTTCTTCTCCTGCTTGGCTCCCAAGAGGGGAGTTTGACCTCTCATTTTTCCAGCAAGAGCCAGGGAACCATGAACTTTACCTCCCACCATGCAGCAAACTACTTCCAGAGTGGTCAGGGCCTCTACACCACACTGGCTTAGGGTGGCCTCATCCTCCAGCAGCGAGCTTGCCAGAAGCACAACTTGGTCTTCAGGGTCAGTGTCTTCCAATGAGGCCACATGAGCTTTGATCTGGATGACTGTCATCCAGATCACCTCGTGACTGTATAGCTCCTGGGTGCCGACAAAGAGCTGCATGTTGACAACTAACTCACGGACACCTTTGCTGCTACCACAAAGATGGAGTCAAGAAAGAGTAAAAGTGTTTTTAAGCCATCATAATAATATATGCTATAGTTACAGTGCTCCACTGAGCAGTAACAGTGGTGAATTATGACCATCACAATGTTCCATTGTATCATCACCGTGATCCACTGTGGTATCGTTGTGTAAACACAGAGCTGAATTGTGACATCAGTGTGCTCCTTTGTGACATCACAATACTCAGTTATTGCAATGCTGAATTGTAGCATCACAATGTTGAATTTTGACATCAGTGTGATCCTTTGTGCTATCACAATCCTGTGTTGTGACATCACAGTCCTAAATTGCAATGCAACAATGGTAAAAATAGACAACCAGATGCTACACTAGAACATAATGGCTCCCTTCTGTGCTATTATAAAACTCCATTATGTCTCCAAGAAGCTGAGTTTTGACATCAAATTCCTTATTATGATGTTACAATGTTGCATTTTGAAATCACAGCTTGTAATAATGATATCACTAAGTCCCCTTATGCCATCACAATGCTGAACTGATATTGTGATAGTGCATTGGGTAATTAAACCACTACAATATGCCGTCACATTGCTCCACCGTGCCTCCAATATGCTCCACTGTGATGACAAAGTGCACAAAATTTGACTGCGCCATCACAGTGTTCCACTGCACTTTCAGAGTGCTGAATTTTGACACTTTCCTGCATTGTGGTATTGCAGTGTTTTAACACTGTGTCTAACTGAGATATCCCTATGTTGCATTGTGTCATCAGAATTTTGAGTTGTGACTTTACAATATATCATTGTTCTGTCACAATGGTGACTTTTGATTTCACAGTACTAAATTTGCTATCACGCTCTGTTCAATTTGTCATCTCAATACTGCATTGTGGTATCACAGTTCTTTATCAGTGTCAATTAATAATGTATAATAACAACACAATGATGTATTTTTTTACATTAAAGTGTGGCATTGTGATGTCATGTTATACCATTGTTTTATCCTAATGCACTGCCATAGTCCCCCAACATTGTCAAACTGCCTTTTAATGATGACTGTGGCATCACAACATTCCTTTGTTCCATCAAGATACTGAATTGTAGCCTCCCTCTCAGTTGCTTATTTTGCCATCACAAAGCAGCACTGTGTTGCCACAGTGATGAGTGACCTATAATAATGCTGTATTGACCTCTCAAGATACATTATTGATCCATTATAATATTCTCTTTTGATACCATGATAAAACAGCTTAGGACAGCAATGCCTTATCTTGTCTCTGGTTTTCGTCCATGATGGTGAAGAAGGTGTAGCTTAGTTAAAGGTAGTAAGAATGATAGGCCATGCTAGGGATTTGTAGCTCAAACCATGAACAAGGCATAACCTCCAGTGTCCCACTCCTTTAACCTACCTCTGCCAACCAGGCCCTACAATCCAAAACAAATCAAACTTGCCCTACAATACACAAGGTTAGCTGCTTTGGTCATTGCTAAAAGAAGAGAAGAAAGACTGTGAAGCAATGCCTATTAAATGTCACTCATTGAAACAGCCCAGTATTTTCATGAAGAGGTTGCTTACATGAAAAATCAACTATATCTTTCTCATTTTCTTCAAGACAAACAATATCTTGAAGTAACATTCTTCAGACCATCCTTACTTTATCTCCATTTCCAGCCCAAATTGTCCTTCTTTTAATTTTAATAAGGAGGTATTCTCCTTTTTAATTCTTATTTCTTAATATAGGACTCTCTTTTGCCTTAATGTAGTTGACATAAAAATACAAATCTCACCTTAAAAGACACAGAAATTATTTTTTAAGTAATTTATTTATTTTTTAACTTTTATTAATTACACATGATTCACTTTGTATCCCTCCATAAGCCCCTCCTTCCTCCCCTCCAGATCCCACTCTCCCTCCTTTTTCTTCACGCATGCCCCTCCCCAAGTCCACTGATAGGGGAGGTCCTCCTCTCCTTCCTTCTGATGTTAGTCTATCAGATCACATCAGGATTGGCTGCATTGTCATATTCTATGGCCTGGTAAATTATTCTGGAAACAAATATGAGTCATGATGTCCTGAGAACACAGATTCATATTATTCCAAATATATTCCAACATGAAAATTGTCATGGAATAATCATGTTGGAATAATTCTTCCAACATGAAGAATTATAACAGGACAAAAGAAATGCCATTGTTAAATATAATAAAACAGCAACAATCTGTGAAGGTGGTTAAGAGATAATAAAGATTCTTGAGTCAGGAGGAAGAGCATTAGATAGAAACAGTATGATTTACAGAACCATGAAGATGATGGGGCCATAGAGGGAAGCAGAACTCCAACCCCCATTAAACATGGATAGCTGCAGTTTCATCAAGAATGAGAGAGGGAGCTAGAATGCCAAAAAGATGGACAGACAAAGAAAGGCAGAGAGAAAGAGAGACAGAGATGGACCAAGAGGCTGATCATGAGAGAAATAAGATTGAGTGGGGCAGAGGGGTCTTGAGAATAGTTTCAAGAGCAATCCACTTGAAAAAACTCTTAAAAGTAAAGAAAATATCAGACTTCTGTGAGTTTGGCAGAAGGTTTCACATCATCTTATTTAATTCAACATAGCCATTGCAAAGAGCTAGGAAGAGCCAGATATCATAAATTGAATGCTGTCAAGTCACTGCACAGACTACTCTTTAACTCTGTCACAATGAGAACATCAAAGAGGCAAAGTCTAATTTTTTTTCAAGCTGAGGGATATGAGGTATAAGCCTGTGCTCCAGCAGTCATAAATCACACTGCTGTTTAAATACATTGAGAGAACATTATGTAGAAAGATTACAGCAAAATTGAAAAGTATGTGCTATCTGGTAACATTTTTTTTCTACCTTTTGGGTTATAGGAAGCTAACGGTCTTTTGGAACATTCCAAAAAGATTAACCTAATAGTCACAAGGCTTTTTGATCATATACAGAGAGAGGTAATAAATGGTTATTTAAAGGGTTGAAGATAACCTGAGACAGTGTGGCTCTAGACCTGAAACATTCTAGTTCTCTATAACCATGAAAGTTCTACTTAGATAAACAGCATAGTGTGATCATTAACACAGAAACCGCTTTTCCCTCCTCAGAACTTACATTGTGCAGAGGACAAAACTATTTCATTTTCTTCCTTTTTAAAAATATCTATCTATCTATCTATCTATCTATCTATCTATCTATCTATCTGTCTGTCTGTCTGTCTATATACCTACTATCTATCTAATGTATGAGTGCTCTATCTGCATGTACACCTGCATGCCGGAGGAGGGCCTAAGATCCCAGTAATGATGGTTGTAAACCACCATGCTGTAGCTGGGAATTGAACTCAGAACCTCTAGAAGAGCAGACAGTGCTCTTAATCACTGAGCCATCCCTCCAGCCTCCCTATTTCATTTTCTTTATTGTATTTGATTCTATACCAGATAATGAAGGATGAAATCTATCTTTGTCATGAGGGTGTCATACTTGTGGCTAGTTATTAAATTTATTATTCTCTTCTTTTATTAGGTATCTAGTTAAGTACTGGGAGAGTTGAAGGTATTTGAGGGTGGACTCTTCAGTTATAATCAGCATGAAAATGAAAAAGAAAAAAAAAGTGGATTTTGATTACTAGCCAGGTGAAGGCCTGACATTCTAAGCCGCTGACAGGTGATAAGTTTACTAAAAAAAGGAACTTAATAGATAAGCAAAACATACTATAGTACAAATGAGATAGTACAAATGGGTCTTTTAGTCACCAGAACAGGAAAATACAAAATAGTATCCTAGTGAAACTGTACTAGAAACCTTAGAAATAATGCAAAGCCTTCCTAAAGTATAAGTCAGCACATTGTCCCTCCAGCCACTGACCATTCTCACCTGTTCTGCTTTACCCTGTGATAAGCTGCTTCTACATGGCATTCCCACTGCCATGTCTGGCTTTGATGGAGACCACATGGATGCTGAACAAGATACAGATGTAAACTGTTTCCTCATCTTTCTTTTGGGGGGTTATTTCAAGTTTTAAATTATAAATTATTTGTAAAGTACTTTCACAGTTACATCCTTAATAAGTTACCACCTTCAGAGAAAGTTTGGCAGACTAATGGTTTTTTATTTTTAATGTCTTTACAAAAAAAAAAAAACAACCCATATATATTGTAAATATTGTTTTTTGCAGTTAAACAGTGTTTGTCTTTAATGCAGATGACTGTTTGTTTGTTTGTTTGTTTGTTTGTCTTAGTTTTCGTGATTCCCTGGCTGAGGCGCAGCTCATAGCACAGACAAGGCATGGGGAAGGTGCTGCTGCAACGCTGGAATTGAGCTGATGCTTGGGCAATCAGAGTGAACACAGTGATTACCCACCGCTGTTCTTCTGCAGCCTGCTCCTGTGCTGACTGTCCAGCTGGCTGAAATAACACATTTCCTCATGGCCCAGGCCTCGTGTATATTTCATTTTTATCTTTCATGGTTTCATTGCTTAGTACATTCAAAACTTCAAATGCTCCACTTAGCTTTAATCATGCTTGTTCTTGTCACTTGTCTCAGGCTCTGCTGCTCAACCTCTCCTAAGGTCAGTTCAGCTAAATACTAAACTAAACACAATGACCACTGAGAAACACGACTGCATAAGCAGAAGAAGTACCACTTCACTGTGTGCAGAGTTCATTCTTTCAAACATCCTTGCAGCAGCTGGAGCTTTCCATCCTTGGAAGCCACTGCCCATATGTTCACCTTTATTATCACCCTGAAGCTTCCAGGCATCTGCTCAATTACTGTCTTGTATACTCAATGGTAGTTTCATTTGAGTTAAAAAAAAAGAAAGAAAGAAAGAAAGAAATTTTTTGCCCCTCATTAAGTTAGAATGGCGCTGTAACAGTGCAGAGCTACACGCAGGTATATTGTAAGCCTCAGGTAGAGCTAAAAGAATGAGATGTGTGTGTGCCTTTAAGTGTTAGGAATCAGGT